CCTTCGATCCCGGCTCCGCCTCGCACCTGCCCCGGCACCTCCACTGGGGGCTCGGGCCCCGTCCCCGAGGCTTCCGGCCACTTCTGGGACGCCCCCTCGGACCTGGCCTCCCCACTCCCGTGCCCGCTGCCTTCGGTCCCAGCCCTCTGCAGCCGACCCTCTAGGACCCTCGGGCCGGCCCGGCACACCCTCTCCCCGCCCAGGTGTGTCCACACCCAGAGCTCTGTCCTCCGGCCCCTGAGGTCCGGCCTGACCCGACCCTTCGTGGCCCCTGCCCACTCGCCGCAGACCCCTCGGTCGCCGCAGACCCCTCGGTCGCCCCAGGGCCGCGCCCGTCCGCCCCCGTGTGAGCCCCGGCAGCCGCGCTTCGGTCCTGGCTAGGGCTTCCCAGGAAGCGGCGGCCTGACCACAGGCTTCGGAGGAACCCTCCGGGAGGGGCGCCTCCGCTCCGGCCCAGTTCCTCGGAAGCCGGGCGGGGCCGGCAAGGTCCCCAGGGCCCCGGCCGCCCTCCCTCTGGTCCATGCGGGCCGCTGGAGAAACAGGTCTGGGGAGGGGCTGTGGTGTGCCACAGTGCGGGCAGGCGGGGAGCTCTGGCCTGACTCTGGCCCTCCCCGTTCTCGTGTCTGGAGGGAGGTGCAAAGGCAGTCTGGAGCCCAAGAAAAAATGGGTTCTCAAATGCGATGATTCCCAGGACCTAAGTTCCTGACCCTTCTCGCCCCCTCCCCTACCTTGTCGACCCCGCCCCAGCGGGCATCTGGGCTTGGTGTGGTGGGGGCTGGTGGGCAGGGCTGGAAACTGTGCACTGTGTGGGATTTCGTGGTTCTTTTTGTCGTGGAAGGCCAGGGAGTCGGTGCCTGGCTGCTCCGTGTATTTTGAATGAAGGCGGGTGGGGAGCCCAGAGTCACAAGGGGTCACACAAAAGACTCGCCAGCCTGAGCCGGGTGCCCGGCCTCACGCTGGCACACACTGCCCTCTACAGACGGCTCTCAGGCTGCAGCCCCGGCAGCTCCTCTCCTGACGCCCTGGCTCCGGGTCCTTCCCGCCTCCCTGGTGGGGGAATGCCTGTTTCCTCCGGCCCAGCCATCCTCTGTGTTTCTTCCTGAACACACAGGGGCTGGCTCAGAATCCGCCTGGCTAAGGGCACCATCACCTCGCTGAGTTGGCATGTGGCAGGTGCTGGCGGTGGCCGTTGGTGAGCTGCCGTGGGAGGTGAGTGTGCCTGTGCCCATGGGGCCAGGGGCTGAAGGTGCAGAGCCATGGCCAAGCCAGGGCTCAAGGGCTGTGGTCATTCTGGAGCTGTTGACTGAGCACCTGCAGGACCACACCCAGTGGCGGGTGAGGGTTGACCATAAAGAAGTGGTTACAAGGCAGACTTTGGCCAGGACCAATTCCAGCTTGCAGCTTTGGACTCTCCTGACCTTGACCCTAACCTCTCTGCCTTGATCTCTTCATGTGTGAATCGCAGGGCTGTGGTGGGGATTAAATGACTGCCTGTGGGCCAGGAGCATCGGTGTCTACTGTTGGGACTGTCCGTAGAGGGTGCCTGTGGGTGTGGCGCATGTTGGAGCCCATGGACACATGACTCCACCCCTTGTGTCCATTTTATTTTATTTAATTAATTAATTTATTTTTTTGAGTTGGAGTCTCACTCTGTCACCCAGACTGGAGTGCAGTGGCCGCTT